GGGAATCCTGGCGGCGCTGGCGGGCGTCCCTGAGACAGCAAATGAGAGACCTGGGACGCTCCTGTGCCCTCAGCAGCTGTCAACTGATATTGTTGCAGAAAGTAGGCCCAGCCAGCCTTCCCGATTCCGGACCATAGACAGTTCCTGAGCGTTAAACACTGGGTAGGCTGCAAGCTGTGCCTAGGTCTCCTGGGTCTTTTTCTTTTTCTCTCCTCCTCTTCTCTTTTCTCTCCTTTCTCTTTCCTTACTTTCTTCCTTGATTTCCTTTAGAACTTCTCTGATAGGTTTCCTGGCCATATCAGTGTTTTCTAGGACCTACAGAACGAAGCTTTCGAAGATTTTTCTTGTTAAACCTGCTTTAAAAAGCAAGGAAGGGAGGAAGGGAGGAAGAAAATACAGTGTTTACTCATTTTAATACCTCCAGATGGGATATACTTTTCTGTACCAGGTTTTCATTATAACTTGTGTGTAAAGAGTTTTTTGTTTGTTTTTGTAAGGATACGTTTTATGGGACTTTTAATTTTGCCTTTGGCTTAGTGGTGAACAAGGGCAAGAGTGGATATGCTCTGGGAGAAAATAATGAATTGTTTTTCGTTGATTCCTGGCATTTTAAAAATATGATCAATTTTTCTTTCTTTTCACTTAGAATTTGAATATTAAGCTATCATTCCTTCAGTCAGAAATACACTGAAATCTATGAGCTGCAAAACACTGTGCTGGGGCAAGGGAGTAGGAGAGAGTAAGATACTATGGTGCTTGGGGCAGATGGTATATTAGTTATTTATGCTGCATAACAAACTATCCCAAAACTTAGAAGCTTAAAACAGCACACACAGACTTTCTCACATTCTCCTCGGGTCGGTAATTTAAGCAGGCTTAACTGGGTCCTCAGCTTCAGGGCGCTCACAAGGATGTGGTCAAGTTGGGACTATCTCCCATGTCAGCTGGGTAGGATTCGCTTCCAAGCTCATTCAGTGCTTGGCAGTGTTCAGTTCCTGCAGGATGGCTGGACTGGGGGCCTCCGTCCTTGCTGGCTGTCAGTGGGAGGACGCCCTCAGTTCCTTGCCATTTGGGCCTCCCCAACACCGCAGCTTGCTTCATCAAACCCAGCAAGAGAGAGTCTGCTCTCAAGATGGAAACCACAATCTTTTATAACCTAATCATGCGACATTCTTGTCACTTACAAAATATTACTTTTAAAATTACAATATCACTTGTGCTATATTCTGTGGTCAGGAAAGTCACTAAGTTCAGCCTCCAGTTAAGGGGAGGGAATTGCACATGGATGTGAATACCAGGAAGCATGGATTATTAAGGGGTCATCTTAGAAGTCTGGCTACCATGAATATTAAATAATTCACAATTATTTAACATCAATTGTGAAAAGTATCCACGGAAAGATGTGTTGAAATAGCGTATAATCAGGTTTGTATAAATGGCTCTAGAGTCAAGGAAGGGCTTTATTGAAGAACTGGTTTGAGTGAGTGTTAAAGGATGAGCAGGACTTGACTAGGTGAAGAAATGAGTGGGAGGAAATGACCATTTAAGACTATGCGGCAGGAGAAGACCAGAAAAATCAGAGCCACTGGATGAGCCTAATGAGATTTGGCAGGGCTAGATACTATACATTTTATGGGCTTTGGTCTATCCTAAGAGCTGTCCCAAAATGTGTGTGATTTTAGGGACTCAACATCAAATATTTATGGGCCACCTTTAGTGTGCTTAGCACTCTGCCAAAGGATGATACAGTTTCAATTCTCAAGGAGTATCATCTATAATAAATATGAAACACTTACATATGAAACAATCAATAAGCAATCCAAGATATAGAACAATTAGTGTGACCAGTTAAACAATAGTATTGACATAAAGTATAAAGTTGTGTGCTACAAATACAGAATGGTATGTAATTAGCTAATTGTTTAAGTGCAAAGTGTTCATTCTGAGCACTATTGGTATTTATATCAGAGATTCATGTAATTTTTTAAAAATTTCAGCTTTATTGAGTTTTTTGTTGTTGTTGGAGAGATTCATGTAATTTAATATGAGTGTTGCTTAAGTAAGGCTGTTATGTTCAGAACACCGAAACAAATGAAGTCCTGCCTTGAGAGTATGGTAAGAAATTGTACAAAGCTAATGTAATATATCAAATCTCAGGTAAATATAAGTGAGCTTTTTAAAAATACAGATTTTTATTGATTTCAGAAAGGAGGGGAGAGGGAGAGAGAGATAGAAACATCAATGATGAGAGAATCATTGATCATCTGCCTCCTGCATACCCCCTACTGGGGATACAGCCCGCAACCCGGGCATGTGCCCTGACCAGGAATCGAACCTCGACCTCCTGTTTCATAGGTTGATGCTCAACCACTGAGCCATACTGCTGGGCATAGTAAGCTTTTTAACAATTTCAGAAGGAAGGAGAGATTGCAGCAGGTAGTGCTGGTCTAGGAAGACTTCTATTTTTAAAAAAATATTTTTTATTATTATTGACTAGAGGCCTGGTGCACGAAATTTGTGCGTGGGTGGGGGATCCCTCAGCCCGGCTTTCATAGGTTGATGCTCAACCACTGAGCCATACTGCTGGGCATAGTAAGCTTTTTAACAATTTCAGAAGGAAGGAGAGATTGCAGCAGGTAGTGCTGGTCTAGGAAGACTTCTATTTTTAAAAAAATATTTTTTATTATTATTGACTAGAGGCCTGGTGCACGAAATTTGTGCGTGGGTGGGGGATCCCTCAGCCCGGCCTGCACCCTTCCCAATCCAGGACCCCTCGGGGGATGTCCACAAGGATTGAGGCCTAAACCGGCAGCCGGACATGCCTCTAGCAATCTGGGACTGCTGGATCCTAACCGCTCACCTGCCTGTCTGATAGCCCCTAACCCCTCTGCCTGCCTGCCTGATCGCCCCTAACTGCCTCTGCCTCGGCCCCGCACCCAGGACCAGGATTCCCTCCTCCAGCTGGCCGCAGGTACCCAGGACCGTGGGGCAGGTGGCTTTTCTCTGTCTCCCGGACCGCTGGCACTGCCCAGGACTGCAGGGCAGGCGGCTTTTCTTTGTCTCCAGGGCCACAGGTGCTGACGCCTGGGACCAAGGGGCTGACGGCTTTTCTCCATCTCCCAGGTGGCAGGCTTTTCTCTGTCTCCTGGGCTGCAGCCGCAGGCGCTGGCACCCGGGACCGCAGGCAGGCGGCTTTGCCTGGGCCCGGCTTTGTCGGGAAGGACGTCCTGAAGGTCGTCTGGAAGACTGCCAGTCTAATTAGCTTACTACCCTTTTATTAGTATAGATTTTTAGAGAGAGAGGAAGGGAGAAGGATAGAGAGATAGAAACATCAATGAGAGAGGAACATCATCAATCGGCTGCCTGCTGCACACCTCCTACTGGGGATCAAGCCTGCAATCCAGGCATATGCCCTGACCAGGAATCAAACCGGCAACCTCTTGGTTCCTGGGTCAACGCTTAACTGCTGAGCAGCACTGGCTGGGCTAGGAAGGGTTCTTAAAAGGAGGATGTGATTTGGGGCTTTAAGAACAGTTAGGTTGGGACTCTTTCCCCCTCCTCACGTGGGAGTTTGTGCTATGAGATTCTTTCCCCTCTCCACATGGGAGTCCGTACTTGTTCTTCAATAAATTTCCACTTTTGCTATGAAATAAATAAATAAATAAATAACGGTTATGTTGACAGGGGATAGAAGGAATAATTTGTTTAGAAAGTGCAGGAAAGGTGGATACTCCTGCAGAGAGTGAGTGGATCTTAATTTCAATGCCATTTTGATGAGCGTTTGCCATTTTGTCATAAAACTTTTAGCCTTAATTACCAATGACTTGCCTCATCTTTTCTTTCCATCTCTTATCAGTGAAGCTATTAAGTACCTCACAGAAGCTCTTCAGTCTATCAGTGAAGTAGAGCTTGAAGATGCACTGGAAAAGATCATTGATGCAGTTGAAAAGCAACCCTGTAAGTAACATTCTGATAGCTCTTAAATTGTTAGTATACTTCTATATCCTTAACAGACTTAGAGATTTGAGTAGAAGTTGAGGATTCAGTATGAAGATGTCCCAGCCTTATGGGACATACCCCTGGTAGCACTTCTTCCCAAGGGGTAACTTCTAGTTCCTTTGGAACCTCAGTGCATTCCCCAGAGACTCTTACAGTTCTTCCCCCTCGTAGAGCTGTCACCTCCATATTTCTGCACTTAACTTCTGATTTTGATCTGATCCTTTAGGGTCACTTTTGTCTCGCTGTAGGCCTATAACTTTGTCTTACTTAAGTACCCCTAAATGTTGCGGGTAGGGGAAAAAGTGAGCCAGGCTAACTCCCTTCTTGCTTCAGCCTTTCTTCAGGGATCTTTTTGTTAACACATTGTTTGCGGGTAGTTTTTATCGCGCGCTAACAGGTGGCGCGGGCCATTTTTGCTAATTTATTGCGCAAATGGCAATGTTCAGTAAAATTATAACTTTAGTTTACGTATTTATGTTACCCGCATTCTACCGCTAGTCTATAAAAAATGTATTAATACATGTCCCGCGCTCTACTACTTACAGTCAACGTAAAACGTATAAATGCGTTTCCCGCATACAATGTGTTAAGTACTTAACTTTTTGCCACAAGTATAGGCCTACAAAGGAGAAATGCTCTTCTAAAAAAAAAAAAAAAGTTCACTGTTTCTGGAGCACTGAAGGAGAGAAGAGGATGTAGCTTGCTCTCATATGGTGGATAGATGTCAGTTTCTTAATTAAAAAGGAAGAAACATGTTCTATGCTATAGGAGAAATTACTGTATATCTCATTTTCACTTCTAAAGGTAGATTTTTTAAAAAAATCTTATTTTGTTTTTTCCATCCCCTCTATGCCCTCTTCAACCCTCTTCCCTCTTTCCCTACCCCACCATCACTACACTGTTGTCCATTTCCATGAGTTCTCCTTTTTTTTTCCTTTTTTGCTCAATCCCTCTAACCCCACAGCACCTGACCACTACCAGAGCTGTCTCTTGCTCTCTATCTATAAGTCAGTCTCTATTTTGCTTGATAGTTCACTTTGTTCATTAAATTCCACATATGAGTGAAATCATATGGTACTTGTCTTTCTCTGACTGGTGTATTTCACTTAGCATAATGTTCTCCAGGTCCATCCATGCTATTGCAAAGGGTAACTTTTTTTTCCTTTTTACAGCAGAGTAGTATTCCATTGTGTAAGTGTACCACAGCTTTTTTATCCACTCATCTACTTATGGACACTTGGGCTGCTTCCAAATCTTGGCTATCCTATATAATAAAAGAGAATCATGTAAATTGATTGTCCCTCCGCTACACTCACCAGCCAATCAGGAGAGAGTATGCAAATTAACCAACAAAGATGGCGGATTAATTTGCATGCACAAGCACTGGGCGGAGAGCAGAGTGGGAGAGCCGGCAGAGAGTGGAGCGGCTTGGGGAACTTGGCTCCCCAAGCCGCCAGACGGAGAGCAGAGAGGGAGAGCTGGCAGCTTGGAGGACTTGGCAGAGTGGGAGGCCATGAGACAGAGACAGAGCAGGAAGGGAAAACTAAGAGCATGGGGAGCACCAGGAATTCTGGGAATAGTAGTTCTGGTGGCAGCCCCAGGACCAGAAGCGGAAGCCCAGAGTGTGGGGAGCACCAGGACTGCTGGGAATCATAGTTCTGGTGGCAGATGGATCTCCTAGACACTAGAGCAAAGTGAGCCTGGAGCAAGTTACTGCTGTGATGGGGGATGGAGGGAATGCAAAGGTGAGAGACATAAGTAAAATCAGAGTGTCTAGGAAAAATTAAAGGGAAGATATCCTAAAACTTCCAGGAAATCTCCACCAGTGAAACAAAGAAAAAAAAATGCCTCTATTATTCTTTGAGCAACAAACCAAACTGGGTTGGGGGGGGGGGGTGGCCTGAGGAACCCACCCCCAGTGCACAAATCTTCGTGCACCGGGCCCCTAGTTGTAAATAACACTGCAATTCCCAGAAGTAGGATCACTGGGTTATAAGGCAGTTCCATTGTTTTTTTTCCTTCAGGTAATTCCATACTGCTTTCCACAGTGCCTGTACCAATCTGCATTCCCACCAACAGTGCTCAAGGGTTCACTTTTCTCCACACCCTTGCCAACACTTGTTTGTTGACTTATTGATGACTAGAGGCCTGATGCACGAAATTCGTGCAAGAGTAGGCCTTCCTTCCCTCAGCTGCCGGCACTGGCTTCCCTCTGGCACCTGGAACTGGGCTTCCCTCCAGCTGCCGGCAGGCACCCGGGACCCGGGCTTCCCTCACATGCCCGGCTTTGTCCAGAAGGTCGTCTGGAAGGACGTTCGGAAGGACATCTGGTCTAATTAGCATATTACGCTTTATTATTATAGATAGCATTTCTGACAGTTGTGAGGTGATATTTCATTGTAGTTTTAATTTGCATTTCTCTGATGATTAGTGACTTTGAGCACCTTTTCATGTCTATTGGTCACCTGTATGTCCTCTTTTGAGAAGTGTCTATTCAGGTCTTTTGCCCATTGTAATTGAAATATTTGTGTGTGTGTGTGTGTGTGTGTGTGTGTGTGTGTGTGTGTGTTTGGTGTTGAGTTTTATAAGTTCTTTATAAATTTTGGATATTAACCCCTTATCAGATGTATCATTGGAGAATATGTTCTCCCATTCAGTGGGTTGTCTTTTAATTTTGTTGATGGTTTCCTTTGCTGTGTAAAAACTCTTTAGTTTGATGTAGTCTATTTGTTTATTTTTTTGTTTATTTTTTCTTTTGTTTCCACTGCCCAAGGAGATATATTAGAAAAAATATTGCTATGAGAAATGTTTGAGATTTTACTGTAAAGGCAGAATTTTAAATATAATTTTGCTTTCAAAAATTATTTACAGTTTGAAAATTCAGAAAATGGTTATATTTTGAAAATTGGTATTTGTAAAATTAAGATGGCACATGGTATTTTGCCTGAAAACATACCAAAGTGGTTAAGGACACCCAGTGTAGAATCAGGCTTCGGTTTGTGTTGCTGTTCTAGTTATGCTGTTGGTCAGGTTGTTCAACCTCTCAATGTTGCACTTTCCTCATCTGTAAGATATGGGCATATGGACATTAATCTTATAGAATATCTCTTTAATAGGAGAATGCTTATATAGTAATGAGCATAGTGCCAAACACACATTTACTAAGGGCTTAATAAGTGGTAGCTGTTATTGTTATTATTGTTATCATGGCTACTAAAATATAGCACTTGTGATAAAAAGTTACACTAATATAAAGTTATTAAACCTAGGGGCTTACAATATTACTAAACAATATTTATAACAGTAAGATACAGTTAAGGTATTTAAATTATGACTTTTGTTAATGTTCTGACCTAATACTTTTTTTCCTCCTGAAAACTGTGTAATGAGAACGTCTGCATTAGTGTCTGCAGATTATTTGTAGGAAAAAAGCTATCTGTGGGAAGAACTAATTTTTAAGCCTGTTTTTAAAACTTGACTTTGAAATTCTTTTTTCAGTGTCATCCAACATGATTGAACGATCTGTAGTGGAGGCAGCAGTCCAGGAATGCAGTCAGTCGGTAGATGAAACTATGTATGTGGAAAAAATGAACTTTTCCCCAATGTTGGAGGTGCTTTCTAAAAATTATTTTCTTGGGGAAATTAATTAGTGGTCAACAATTCTGTAGTGGTTATTTCCTAGTGTTTCCTTTAAAGTGATAGTCTTCATTAAAACCTCATTATCAAATAACTTGTCTTTACTATTTTTTCCTAGGATTTGAGGTAATCCTGTTGTTTGTATCATGACCACTTTTACCTCTTATCCAATGTTATATTTTGTAGGTTATGAATGAATTGAATTTAATATTCAAAAGTATAACTGACTTTTGCTCTCAGGAAAGTACTGAACCTAGAGAAGTTCAAAGACTTAACATGGGTCACATGGTGGATGGCAAATGAGGTAGAACCTTAGTTTTATGACTGTCCCCATCTCGTGCTACTAGAGCTTAGGAATTTACATGGCAGTCATTTTCCTGGGTTTTATTTCCCTGAGTGGCCCTCTTTCTTTCCTCCTTTTGAATGTGATACTTCTTTGCAAATTCACAAGGTTTAACTGAGAGAAAAACATCTGGGTTTTAACTTTAACAATTTTTTTCTATTCGGGGCAATGAGATCATTGAAAGGACTCATTACTCTTATTTTGGTCAGTCGTTTTAGTTTCCTATCAGAACAAAGAGCTGCTAAAACAATAGAGAAATCGTGGAATTTTAACTTTATCCTTGGAAATTCATTATTTAAGGTACTAGAGTACAGTGACGTGCTCTTAAAGCCATCAATTAAAATTTTAAATGATTGTTTAGAAGTGTAAGGATGATAATCATAAAATAGGCATTAAAGTTACCAGTTATTTCTGTCTAGCTGTTTATATGCTCTAGTCAGCCAATGTAGAGGTCCAGTGGGGACTGAATGGTAAATAATCTTTGTAACTTCAATTGTCAGAAAGTCATAGTATAGCACGAGAGAGGCTCTCATTTCTCTAGATGGAGAAATGCCATAATGAGTTCAATAACTTGTCAAGATTGATCCACTAGAACATAGTGGAGCTGTGCTTGCATTCTAGGTTTTCCTCAAGTCCAGGATTCTCTGCTACTCTATACTTAGTGCTACCACCACGGTAGCATGAACATTTTTTTACCGTTTTCAATTTTGGAGATAAACAGATATCATTTTAGGGAAGATTTTTTGTTGTTGTTGGAATATTTATGCAATAGTGCTGTGACTTTTTTTTTTTAAACCTCTTTCAAACATGTTTATGTTGTTAACATAATATAAGTACCTGAAAGTAAAATTATTTTGTTCATTTTCCTTCTCTAATTGTAAGTCTCAAAGATGTGGCCAGAAATTGGGGGAGTTCCTTTTCTATTTTACATCTTTTTCTGGAATACTTTTGCATAATTTGGAATAAAAAATTATTGAAAATTAATCCTATCCTTTAATAATATTGTAGCTCATAAAAGTAGTTCATAGGGGAAAATTTTTTCAGATGTGACTATTTTATACATAAATGTTCTTTTTCAACATGTAACAGTCTTAATTAGAAGTTAACCTGACTAAATTTTTTTCTTTGCTTGAGAATATTGGCAGTGCTTTCTTGTGTTTAGAGAGGAAAATGCACAAGCTAACCTCTGACTCTGTATTTTTTGACAGTATAAGATATTGTGTGTATGACCTGTCAAAAGTATATATGTATGTAAGATTATTATGCAAGTTTTCATGTTCATCTAAAATACTTATGTTTTAGTAAATCAGGTCTATGTTTTTGTGGGATGTTTTTCAGAGAACATATTTTCAATATCATAGGAGCATTTGATATTCCACGCTTTGTGTACAATTCAGAAAGAAAAAAATTTCTTCCGTAAGTATTCCATCCATTGACTTTAAACAATTTCCAAATGTACATTATTTTCAGAAGTCTTGAGTAGGGATTCCTTTTTTTTTTTTTTATAGTCTATTAATGACCAACCACCCTAAACCAAATTTATTTGGAATAGCAAGAGATAAAGCAGAGCTGTTTCGTGAACGCTACACCATTTTACACCAGGTAAGTTGGTGGAGAAAGACACTGTTTCAGCTTAGGTAAGACTTGAGGATAATAAAAGGATGGAATTTTGTAGTCTAAAGTTTGTCATTCATTACATTTATTGGGCTCCCTATATTTGAGACCTTGTAAGGGATACAGAAATAAAAAAGATACCTTAGCAATCATGATGATGATAAAAATAGTAGCTAACTGCCCTAACCGGTTTGGCTCAGTGGATAGAGCGTCAGCCTGCGGACTCAAGGGTCCCAGGTTCGATTCCGGTCAAGGGCATGTGCCTTGGTTGCGGGCACATTCCCGGTAGGGAGGGTGCAGGAGGCAGCTGATTGATGTTTCTAACTCTCTATCCCTCTCCCTTCCTCTCTGTAAAAAAATCAAATCAATAAAATATATTTTTTAAAAAATAGTAGCTAACATTTATTACATGTGTTGTTTTTTAATTGATTTCAGAGAGGAAAGGAGATGGGGAGAGAGATAGAAACATCAATGAGAGAGAATCATTGATCGGCTGCCTCCTGCACCCCCGCTACTGGGGATCGAGCCTGCAACCCATACATGTGCCCTTGACCAGAATCAAACCCTGGACCTTTCAGTCCACAGTCCGATGCTCTATTGGCTGAACCAAACCAGCTAGGGCTATTATATGTTTTTGATATGCTAGGCACTGTTTATCACTTTATAGACATTATTTACCTTATTTAATCATCTTAATATCAATGTATAAATGCTATTATTCCCATTTTACAAATGAGGAAACTGAGATCTAGAGAAGTTTAGAAACTTGCCCAAATATGACATCTAGGAAGTAGAGACAAGGTTTTAATCCAGTTATTCTAATTCTGGAGCCCAACCTTTGCCTGATATAGTCTAGTATATCAGCTTCAAGCAGCTTGTAGTCTATGAAGTTAAAGACATTCGCACAAATAAAATATAAAGTACAATTTTATACTTGCTATAAAAGAGATTCAAATAAAATGCATTCAATGGACAAACCAGGGAAGGCTTCAAGGAAACTATGGCACTTGACATGGACATTGATTGTTTTGCTCTTGTGGCATTGGGGGAAAGGTAGTAGTGGTAACAGTGTGAACAGAGGCACAGCAAAAGTTAAAAATGGACTCTGTCCACTTTGTGTGGGGAGGAAGGCTCATGAAGAAGAGCATTATGGGATAACTTTGGAAAGGTACTTGGGAGCCAAATTGTGGGAGTGCCTTGGATGGCACTCGGGAGTTAGGACTCTGTTCTCTTGGTACAAGGAGCCTTGGAATACCAGAGAGAGAGAGACTCAATCTCAGCTTCCTTTACCAGCAGATTTTAGGGTGAGTTAGAGGGTGAGAGGAGACTCACAAGAGCTTGTGGTATTAGTCCTGGCATAAAAGATAGCCAGGATGAAGAAAATGGCAAGTGGAGTAGACAGAGGGGACAGCACTGGAGCAGTGAAAGCCATACTTCATGGTGACTGGTTGGATGTGAAGGAGAAGGGAGAGAGTGAAGACTCAAAGATGGTTAAGGTTTTGAATCTGAGAGAGTAGGATGGTAGAATAATGGTAATATGCTAACAAATAGGGACAAGATAATGTTTGAAGAAGATGATGACAGGTTCTGTTTTAAACATTTGAGTTAAGGTTATAGTAGGGTATCAAGTAAAAGTTATGTCTGAACTAAAGAAAGCCATCTGGGTAGAGAGAGATAAAGGGTGCATCTGCTTGTAGTAATAGATGGACTATTTAGGTGTGAGATCCTGAGAGGAAGAGGCAATAGAAAAGGAAAGAGGATAGAATTTGGGGGCCATGCTAGGATGGTGTTATAAGGCAGAAGCACAAGGTTTTAAGGAGGAGAGAAATGGCAGCAGGCATAAGCAGTGAAAAGACTGAAGAGAATGAGCACTGAAGATGTCTGTTCTCTCCTGCTTTCATCACCTACATAATGTTCCAGGTTGATCTTCTTGAGATGGAGCTCTGATCATGTCATGACTTTGAACAGATTTCTTTCCAGGAAATCTACTGCCTATTGAATTAAATACAAATTATACTTAACTAGAGGCCCGGTGCAGGAAATTTGTGCACGGGGGTGGGAGGTATGTCCCTCAGCCCAGCCTGCACCCTCTCCAATCTGGGACCCCCTAACTGCCCTCCCCTGCCGGCCTGGTCGCCCCCAACAGCTCTCCACTCCCGGCCATTTTGTGGTGGCCATCTTGTGTGTTGGAGTGATGGTCTGCATATTACCTCTTTATGAGATAGGATACTTGAGATCTGTCACATGTTTTTGACCTAATCTCTACTTATCCTCTAATCATACTGTGCTATAGCCAAAACTGAAGTTTGGAATTATTGTTTGTTTCTTCCTCTGTTCTGTGACTTTGCTTAGACTGTTCACTCCCTAGACAACTCTTCCTTCTTATCTCTGGTTGAAACCCTCCTACTTCGGGAAGGCTCTTCTCAAATTCCTCTTCTTCCCTGAGGCCCTTCTTGATCCCCAGTTTGTTGCAATGGTTTAAATCTCTGTTTTAAACCATTGGCTACTCAGTGTTTCCCCTCCGTCACTTACTAGAGTTGGCCCCACCTTGCATTTGGGGTGCTTATCCCTGTCATCAAACTGCAGGCTCCTTGCTTGTTTTCTCTGCCCCATCTGGCACAGTGCTTTTCACAGGGAAGATGCTTAGTAAATACAACGTTTCTCTTTTTTTTAAAAATTGTGTCTTAAAGCCTACTATATTCTTTTGGGTGTGTCACTAACCCTTTGAGTATTTTTTTCCTCATCTATGAAGTTAAAGCGTTACATTTTATTTTAGTCCATTCACATTTTCATCACAGTTGCCTTCCTAAAAGCAAACCTGATTTCATCATTATTCTACTTCAAAATCTTTGTTTTCCATTGTCTATAAGATAAGCTTCTTGGTTTGGCATACAAAGTCTGTATTGTCAGGACTCTTTTATTGGAGGTTACAGAAATGCAAATTGACTAAAACAGAAAGAGGAATTTATTGGCTTGTATTATGGACAAGTCTAGGGCTCCACCTGTATCAAGCATGACTGGATCCAGGTGCTCATACAATATCATGAGACATCTACCTCTATCCATCTCCCCGCAATTTTTAAATTTGATTTTACTTTCTAACAAGTTCTACCTATAAGGTGACAGAGATGGCTACTAGTAACCTTAGCAATAATCTCTTTTTGGCCCAGCTTGAGGCCCTTGCTTAATCCTGAGATAATCATTGGTCAAAGAGATGGAGTACTTTGATTCATTAGGCCTTGGTGGCCTGTCTGTAGAAAGGGGAAGGGGCACCAACCTAAACTACATGGACCGACACTGGGGGAAGGAGGGTTTTCCAAACAGAGGCTCCAACTAATCTCTTGCCTTGTCTGACATTCTGCCTCACGCATCTCAGGCTCTAACTGTACTAAACTTTGCAACAGTACCTAAATATCCTTTACTCTCATAACTCATTCTTGTGACACACCCCTTCTTTTGCCTGAAGTGTCTTGTCTCAGCCTCCCTTTGATTCTTACTAGCAAAATCTTTTTTTTTTTTTTTTTATCATTTAGGATCTTGTTAAATGGCCCCTCTGCCAAGGGTCCTTTTTTGTGTTGTGACCTGTTGGCGGTACTTCTCTCTCACTAGCCCCATGCTCTGAGGATGACAACTTGGTTTGTTGTCTTCACATCCCTAGGCCAGAGTGTGCTGCTGCCAGGTATACAATAGACTTTTAAATTTTTAAAAAATAATTTTATTTTTATTTAAAAAATTATATTTCTAGATTTCTACATTAAGTTATGTGGGTTTTCAAATTTGTTGAAAATAGATAACAAACATTAACATGTGGACAGTGTTTTGTCAGGGCACTATTTTAATGAGTCTTAGTTTTAAATGTCTGCTTCAGTAATTCATGTGAATCTTTCTTTTTTATAGAGGACCCACAGACATGAATTATTTACTCCTCCAGTGATAGGTTCTCACCCTGATGAAAGCGGAAGCAAATTCCAGGTTAGAACATTATTCTAGTTATTTAGGGGGTGTAAGTATACAAATTTAATACTTACTGCTTATTATAATTTACTGAATTTTTAATGAAAATTAACCACTAGTAACTGTTTGACTAGCTAACTGACCTGTGCATGCCCACTGTTGATAAAGTCCATGAGTCCTGCAAATCTCTATTAAAAGCATTAACTTCCTTCTTTGAAGCAGGCCCTGGGATTATGTAGCCCCCAGAGAGTCTCTGGCACCAAGACGGACCCCTAGTCCTCCCAGTCCATTTGCTATACACTACACTGGCTCTGTCCAACTCTCAGCATTACCCTTTGCCCTCACTCATACTCCAAAATACTGGTCCTTGCCCAGCCCAGCCCTCTAGTGATCACCACACCTTTGTTCAACTAAAATGTAGTATATCATTTTAGTACTTTATATGGCACTAAAGAACAACATTTATAGAATGAATGAGATGTCACAGACAGGCCACAGGGCTGTTGGGATCCGAGGAGCAGAGGTAAAAGGGAGAGTTTCCTTCATGTGTGCTCCTTCCACTTTTATACCTTGGAAAGTGATTACCAACCAGCACTCTCGCTTTTGTTCCAGCAACACAATCACTGTCAGCCTGTCTGTGGCTCTCTTTCTCTCTCCAGCACACAGAACCCTGCAGTGGGGATAATTCCTTGGCTACTTGTGTCTGGGCTCTACCATTTCTGCAAGGTTCCAAATAGGTTCTGAAGAGGCCCAGCCTCTTTTAAGATTCACCAAATTCTCTGCCAAGTTAGATGAGAAACCATGATGATGAGTAGTCTCATAGATACTAAAACCATAATACTAGAGCATGCTCAAATTAATGCTTGATTGCAGCACTGTAGGACAAGACATTTATAGTATTTGATAGTTTCTGCTTTTAACTTTTATTAAGAGAAAAACATATAGTATGTTTTTGGAAATTTATATTATGTATATTTCTCAAATATAAATATATATGAGAATAAATATATTTATATTTGTATAAATATACATATATATTTATGGTCTCCTATGGCAACTTTGATACCCACAGTCCGGAAGCAATATTTCTCCTCTCCACCAAAGTAACTTTAAGCTTAGCTAAATAATTTATTTTTCTTTTCAGTCTTTCCAAGCTATTTAATTTTATATCCTTGGTGGTAAGTTCCCTATTTGAACTACCACTTATAATACCTATATGGTGGTCTCCCTTTAAAGACTGCAAAATGGTGTCCTCAGGAATCCTTTCTTGCAGCTTTGTATCCCTGTGTTGCTCATTTGCTTGATCAATTGATTGAGTGATTGATTTATTTTATGTGAATTGCAATGTTTTTCCCAGTTTTTAAAATTTATTTTTATTTTCTTAACTGTCTTTTTGAAGAACCTAAGTCCTTAATTTTGTTGAAGTCCAACTAACAATTTTTTTTTTATTGGATATTTTTGGTGTTGTGTCTAAGAAATTTTTACCTAATCCAGTTTTTAGGTTACAGGTCTGATATACTTTTATTTATTTATTTTATATCTTTTTCTTTAGATTTATCTCTAAGTATTTCAATTTTTTAAAACTATTTTAAATGTACATTATACTCCTGTGTTGCTTTAGGTTCATGTTTTTTAAGAACTCCAATTGTTGTTCCACTTATTAATGCCTTCATTGGTTGATTCCTGTATGTGCCCTAACTGGGGATCAAACCCACAACCTTGGCATATCAGGATGATCCTCTAACCAACTGAGCTACACATCCAG